GGTTGTCTTGATGAAAATTGCTCGCTAAGGCAGCTTGCAGATGATGGCGTTGTTTCCGTCACCGGGCCAAATGCACCGGACCTGCAAGATACCTTAGACAATTTGTCTACTTGGGCTTATGAACCTGGGTATCGAATTCTCTCCGGAGAAAACTGAGTTGGTTGTTTTTTTTTTCTAGGAAGCATCATCCTGCACAGCTACAGCTTCTACTAAAGGGTATGATTCTGTGAGGTCCAAGAAAAAAGCACCAGGAGAACTACTGATTTCGGGTCGGATGGCTAAAGTACACGAGACTTGTTTAAATTCAACTGTATCTATATTTCAATTATCTGCCTTATATATCTCATAGTAGTGGGAAACAATTAGCGGGTATACAAAGGGGATACAATTTGCATATTGGAGAAGGGAAGAGAGACAGAAAAAATAAAGCCAAGAAATTTTAAGCTCCATTCCGTCCTGGCACGTACTCGTCGTCTTCCAAAGGAATCCGCCGGATTCGTCGAACATCACGCCGCACGATACCATTTGGGGTTCTAATAGCCACCACCCTAACGTAGCCATCGGATCCAGGGAAAGTGTCGACGATGCAGCCCATCGGCCACTGCTTTGGCTTCTCGTTGTCAGCGACCAACAACACAAAGCCTCCAACCGGAACATTCGGTGCCACTTTGTCATACGTTGAAGAGATAAAACATATTCGGTCTGCCACCGAGCTCGAAACTGTTGCGCGACTCGTTGAACGTACTCCCACCTGTTCAGCGATCCGATACGGCGTTCCAACTGGTTGATCTCGGGAACAGCATTTAGTGGTCGATCGATGAGAAAATGTGCCGGCGTGAGAGGTTGAGGGTCGTTGGGATCATCGGAGAGTGGAGAAATCGGCCGTGAGTTCATGCAGGCCGCCACTTGTACGAGAACAGTACTCAATTCCTCAAACGTGAAACGAGCATCACCCCCAAGTTTGCCTAAGAATGCTTTCACCACCTTCACGCCTGCCTCCCAAAGTCCAGCGTGGTGTGGTGATCGAGCAGGAATGAACATCCACTCAATACCCTTGTCGGAGAAGAAGTCTGCTACTTTGCCGTCCAGTTCGGTTGCGTTGATTTGTTGGTATAGTTCACGGTATTTTCTTGCTGCTCCCCGAAGGTTAGTAGCGTTGTCGGAGTAGATTTTGCTCGGCAATCCATATCGGCTACTAAAGCGGGTGAAAGCAGCAATGAATGCAGAATTGCTGAGATCGGACACTGCTTCAATATGCACGGCTCGGGTCGAAAAACAAATAAACAGTGCGATGTACCCCTTGCTAGGTACAGCGCCACGCATTCGTCGATTGATGATGTTGATTGGTCCAGCATAGTCAATGCCGGTGATGGAGAAAGACGGATTCGGTTCCAGGCGATCTGCAGGTAGCTGACCCATCAGCTGACGTAGTGGTACTGGTCTCACACGAACACATTCGACGCAAGCTCGGCAAATCGTCCGGGCAGCACTCGTTCCACGAACAATCCAAAAAAGTCGTCGCACAGCTGCCAGTAACGAAAGCGCAGCATACGCGCCGTGATGCGCAGAAGAAGTTGAAGATTCGGATAGTACCTTGTTAGCATACCATCGAGAAAGAGGTTTTCATAAACAGCTAGATACGCCACTGCAGCCGATCGTTGCCGCTACTGGGTGACATCGAGTGTTGAGATGGGTAGAGTTTCCTGAGTGTTGGTTGTCCCACTCCAGCTTGGACCATGCCACCAGAGAGGATTGTTGATTATTTGTTCTGGCAGAGCACCACGTGAAATTAAATCGGCCGGTTTGTGATGTGCTGCCAGTTGATTGCAGGGAGGAGAGTTGTGATCTCTGCCACGTTTTCCACCTCGAAGCACCACCGTAGATCCATGCCAATGCTACCGTGGAATCCGAATGAGCCCTTATTTCGTGGAAGGGCAATGAGACTGCCGTCATTACGTTCGCCATCAATCGAGCTAGAATCACCGCCGCACACAGCTCCAAGCGGGGCAACGTTGTTCGTCCATTCCCGATAGGTGCTGTCTTGGATTTCGCACAAAGCAAATGCGATGATGTGTTGCCGTATTCGTCAGCAGCCCTAATGTAGACGCACGCACCCATGGCTCGCTCGGATGCATCACTGTAGCCGTGCAGATAGATGCGAGATGCGTTTCGCATGCCGATCACTCGACGGGGTACCTGTAATGAGTTGAGATCGGAAAGGCTTTGCACCAATATCAACCAATTTTGAACTAACTCACCGGGGGTGTTTCATCCCAGTCCACCTTCAGCTCCCACAACTGCTGCAAAACAATCTTCGCTTTAATGACGATCGTAGCCAGTAATCCAATTGGATCAAAGATGCTGGCGATTTGCGAAAGCATAGTCCGCTTTGTGGGCTGAAAGATCTTGTTCGTAGCGTTTGAGAACTGGAGCACGTCGCTTCAAGGCTGCCAGTGGATGCCGAGGGCCTTGATGGTGCGGGTATCGTTGAGCTCGATTGGTAATTGTATTTCTATGTCTTCTGTTGGGACATCCTCAAGAACCGCAGAACCGCAACACACGCGACACAAGCTCATCGACACTGCGCGGTTCACGACGTGAATTTTTGCGAAATCCGGCTCGAAGGACCATATGATTCTGTGAGGTCCAAGAAAAAAGCACCGGGAGAACTACTGATTTCGGGTCGGATGGATAAAGTACACGAGACTTGTTTAGGTTATCAAATTCAACTGTATCTATATTTCAATTATCTGCCTTATATATCTCATAGTACTGGGAAACAGCGGGTATACAAAGGGGATACAATTTGCATATTGGAGATGGGAAGAAAGACAGAACCTTTGCAAACTCGAAGAAAGGCGTTAATAGTAGCCGAGATCGCTGCAGGAGGTTTCCTCAAATTCCGTCACAACAGGGTAGAACAATCACTCAAAGTATATCTTTCAAGTATTTAGGTGTCTGGTTCGTTTCCAAAAGCACGTGGGGGAAACATATTGCGTATGTGAAACAAAAATGCCAACAAAGAATCAATTTTCTTCGTACAATTACCGGAACTTGGTGGGGAGCACACCCGGTTCTAGAGTACGCAAAGCACGCATCCTGAAGCTGCAACGGGTTCACTACCGTTGCCTCCGAATCGCCCTTGGCTGTATACACTCGACGCATACGATGAGCCTCGAAGTACTCGCGGGTGTTCTCCCACTGACAGATCGTTTCGCGGAACTGTCCTTCCGGTTTCTTATCCGTTGCGAAGTAATGAACCCATTGGTAATAGAAAACTTTGAGAAGCTGCTCGACAGAAATCCTCAAACAAGATTCATGAGTCTCTCTTACGAGTACATGACGCTGGAGATTGGTCCTTCTTCATTCAATTCCACTCGTGTTTGTCTCCAAAACTTTTACAGTTCCTCTGTAAATTTTGATCTTACCATGTTGCAAGAAATCCGTGGAATACCAGATCACCATCGGTCGATGGTTGCTTCATTAATATTTGCAAACAAGTACCACCATGTCAGTAACAATAAGGGTATGTTCACAGATGGTTCAACTATAAACGCTTCCACTGGATTTGGAGTATTCAACGAATTTCATAGCGCCTCATATCAACTGCAAAAACCCTGTTCCGTATACGTTGCGGAACTAGCAGCCATATTCTACGCAGTAGAGCAAATTGCCTCACTACCATCTGATCGCTATTTTATTTTTACAGATAGCCTTAGCTCGTTGGAGGCTATTCGATCAATGAGGACGATAAAGCACTCCTCGTATTTCCTGACCGAAATCCGAGCTAAATTGAGTACTTTATCTAACTGCTCCTATACAATTACCTTAGTGTGGGTCCCCTCTCATTGCTCAATTCCGAGTAATGAGAAAGCGGACTCGCTAGCTAAGGCGATATTTTTGATCGATAAATCGCCTTTGCGAAATTTTCCTCAATTACCCGTCAGCAAGTCCTCACCAACTGGGAACAAAAATGGAATGAGAGTGATCTGGGAAGATGGTTACATTCTATTCTCCCACAGGTATCGAACAAGCCGTGGTTCAAAGGATTGGACATGAGTCTCATGTCCAATCACTACTCGTTAGACTCGCATTTCTTCCGAATGGGGCTCGCAGGCAGCAATTTGTGCGCTTGTGGTAGTGGCTATCACGATATCGACCACGTGCTTTGGTCATGCACCCTCCATTGTGTTGCTAGATCCGAGTTATCCGCATTCCCCAGGGCCCCAGGAAAACAGCCTTTGACATCTTGGCGAGCCGAGATCTCGACTATTTAAATTTAATTTGGGTGCTTTTAAAACGGATCGATCTAAGGATTTAGTAGTTACTGTCATCTTGTGTTCTCCCAAGTTGTTAGCTGCCCATCGGTGTACCCCCCATGTTTGTCTTTTTCATCAGTATGTCGCTTAGTTCGAGATCAAGAGCACATTTCTCGAAAAAACCTTGTATTCTCAATCCTTACCCCGCCATCCATTTGTTTGAGATAGCCGCGAGTAATCGGCCATCGCTTTACTAACATTAGTTTTAAATAATTTTGTAACTCAAACGATGAATATCGGCTCCGCAAAGCTACGGTAAATGAGCCTGGAAAAAAATAAAAAATAAAATAAACAAAGTCTATCATATTTTCATATTCCTTTGGAGGCCTCTTGAAAGAATGTTAACAAACAAACAAATAGAAACGCATTCAACGAATGGAATTTACATTTTAAAAATAAGCTAATTGATGACATGATTCTCTGATATGATTTTGATTCCTTGATAATTATATAAATATTCTACCAGAAAATGCCAGACAAATTTTCACTTGCAGAATCGAACGCATCCACAGACTCGCTAATGAAAAGTAAATCCCCTCACGCAAATAAGGATCTGCCCGAGTGACGGTGGTTCACCGCCGCCCAGCTCAGCATAAAGACGTGACGAGCATTTTCCTCGGTGATTTACCTAGGAGGCTCCGCTAACAGAACAGTAGTGCAATCGCAACCATATAAATTAACCGATCGTCGCTAACTGCTGCATCAGTTCGCACTTCAAGCTCGTAGACCACGATCAATCAGCTCTCTCCTCTCGTCGTCAAAATGCATCCCATCAGTGTCGTTTGCTTCGTCGCTCTATGCCTTACGGCAGTCATCTCTTCCGGCAGTGCGTTCCCGCATGAACTGGACTTGGCCGATGATGTCCGTTCGTACGCTAATTCTCTGCGTAAGTTATTTGCAGAAGATAATTTTTTGTTCGAGAGATTTTTAATTTGTAATTTATTTCTATTTTAGTTGACGAACTTCCGGAGGAATCCTACCAGGCGGCGGTGGAGAACTACCGCTTGAAGCGTGCCACCTGCGATCTGCTGAGTGGATTCGGTGTTGGGGATAGTGCCTGTGCCGCCCACTGCATTGCGCGCCGCAATCGTGGGGGTTATTGCAACTCGAAGAAGGTTTGCGTTTGCCGAAATTAAATTTGTTCGAGTTGGCGGAAGATTATTTCCAGATGAACATTTCAAAATGTCCTATCTGCATGGATCGATTATCTTCATAACTCAGCTGTAAAACCATAATCGATTGTGTTTGACGTTTCGTGCACTAGACATTAGCTGCTTTTATCAAACTATGTGGCGAAAATAGTGAGAAACGTGTTTGCATAGCCGTGGTTATTAAAGCCCTTTTGAAATGTTCATCTAGATCGAGGATAAGTTCCGTTAAATGTTCCTATTATGTAAATTTGTATGATATTTTCTTAATAAAATAATTGAACATGTTGATGTGCTAGTATGTCGAACTTGATCGGAACGAACTTTCTCCAATGGGATTCCCCGTAGAATTGCGTAAATTGCGTATTAACTGTTAACATCTGTTTTGAATTGTCAATACTTTTGTTGTGCGGTACTCCACCACGAAACGTGAGGTATTTGTATCACAATCGATCAATATCGACACGAAAGATAAATGTAGGTATCAATATAAAAACAATGTCCAAACGTGTACTGTTACAATTTGATACTTGCGGTGATTTTTCGTTGCCCGCTGTTTCACTCTGATGATTGATTGAATGGCTGTTATTTAAGTATTTAAGAGTTGCCAGTTTGTACTGACTTTAATCAGTTGTGAAAAGTGCATCACCGGAGAAAGTTACTCGAAATTGTCAATGAACAGTCTAAATATGAAGTCAACTATCACAGTGATTTACATGACTCTAGTGTGTCTGGAAGCGATAGTTTCATTGGGAAGTGCCTATCCGCAAGGTGACGCTAAGGTTGGAGATGTCCGTGAATTTGTTGAAAGCTTTGGTATGTATACTCTTGGCTGGCATAAATCATCAACTATTTATTGCGTATTTAATGGTAAAAATTATTTACAGAGAAGATCAACGAGATTGACAATCAGCTGCAGGAAGGCAACCCACAAGTTCGATTGGCGTGTAATATTATCAATGGAACTACCGGTTTTTGTACCGTGCAATGTCTCGTACGGGGATTCAAAGGAGGATACTGCAACAACCAGAGAATTTGCGTGTGTCGCAAATGAGAAAGGGGTGTTTGTTTTCAGAATATGAAGTTTATTGTGTTGATTATGAGAGATTAATGGTAGTGAGCTCCAACCAACCACACGGTTAGAAAAAAAAGTACCCAAAAGTAAGTTCTAAGTAAGTAAGTAAGTAACGCCGAACAAATCCATAACAAACGATCAACCTATCAAGGTCAGTAAGTTGGTCCTAGTTGGAGCTTATTCAAAGAGATTATGATGTATCTTTTACCCCTGCTAGAACATTGTTATTTTGACGTAGAACTACGTCTTTGTCGACTATACTGGGGTGCAAATCAAAAAATATGTGTGGTGAAATAGTGTTAGGTTTTGAACGCTTGTAACTTTGTCATTTATAGATGAAAATAAAGTCCAAATACGCCAATCGATAGGATATTACATCACGAATCTGCTGAAATGAATATTGTTTGTTCAATTTTTCACACAAAAAAAAAACATTTGAAAAAAGTACAAATGATTATTTTAGCTCTGTTTTCATGAAAAAAAAAAACGATTTTCCTTAACCCAGCCGTCATAATCGAGTACCATTTGGTTGTACATCGTTCTGCTTGAACCTGAAAAAGATATAAAACAGCGCTACTGTCGTGCTTTTGCTCATTACCGCTTCGGACGGCGCGGCACGTGGTCCTGCAGCAAACAGGAGCAAGTCAGCGGATTAAGGTAGATCATGGCGTGACCACCTATCATATTTTTTTCAGAGTTTCCTTTGAATCGTTCTAGAATTCCATCATACTTCTTTTCTGGATTCCCCTAAAATTCCCCTAAATCGTGATCAAACTTTTTCAGAAGCATTCTAGGATTTCTCTTGTAATTTCTTAGATATCATTCTACAATTCTATAATTCCCTCAAACTGGTGATAATTCCCAACAATTCGCATTATTTTGTCTCCATTTTCTCGATGACATTCTCTAAGAATATTGTTAAAAAAATCACTCTTAAGAATGACCGTCACACTCTTTCTTAAAATTTAATTAAAATTAATCTCCCTAGAAACTTTTGACAGAATTCCATTGGAATTATTCTCAAGATTTGCATCAGCATGCTCATTGTATTCCTCCCAGATTTCATTATACATGCTCCCAGCAATTCCTTGAATTTCCCATCAACGTTCCTTAAGTATCATATTAAGAATTTTCTATGATTTCTCTTCCGAATTATATTTAATTTCTTCGCAAAATCGCCAAGCATATGTCATCAGAGTTATGGAGCTCTACTTAGAATAAACTTGAAACCCTCCTATGATTTCACAAGGAATTCACTTTACACTATACTGTCAACTATTTTCAGAATTACCTTAAAATTATGAAATTCTAGGGCAATTCAGAATTCTAAAGTAGTTCAGCCTGCTAACTCAATATTCACAGGTACTTCAAAAAATGCTAAGAGTTATAAAAATGCCTTTTAAATTCTTAAATCAAAAATCTCAAAAACATACTTCAAAGTCCTGGTAGTTGTCTAGATTCAAAAGCCTTGCTAATTTTCCAAAGCTCAACAGCTGAACAGTTTTCGATTTCTCTAAATTGCAATATTATGAAAATTCCTCCATTTTGAAATTTTGGTTTTCTAATCCAGGATTGTAAAATAATAGCCAAAATTCAAAATAAAAAAAATCCAGGCCCGATATTTAAAAAAAAAGAAGGGTTTTTTTTCAGCAAATAATCTTTAGGGATTGTCTCAACTTTCATGATTCTGCGACCCATTAACATGCAAACATGTTGTAACAATTCCATGTACGATGTTGCAATAATTTCTAACGTTGATGGCCTTTAATAATTAATGTAACAAGTTTAACTTTTTTTTATTATTAGAGGGTAAATCAATTGCAGTGATATTTTAAAGCAATTTGTTTAAACAAATCTGGGAAAATCTGGAAATATACGTGGTCTGTCTGTGTATCTGGCAAGATGACTGAACATCTGGAAGATTCAGATAAATCTGGAATACTGGTAACGCTGGTGCCAAACCGGTTCATGAGTTGATGGGTCGATAGGTAGGGTCCAGGTGAGGGAGCTGCCTTCCTGGCGTCAGTAGCATTGGTGCTAAGCACGGAAAATAAATCAAGGAAAAAAAAGTGAACCATAACCGAAACATTAAAATACTTGAAAAATTTAACATAAAGTATAATAGTCATACATCAATTTTGCGTGGTTCTACGTCATACTGCGTAGTGCATACAACACTTTAATTTTTTTTCCGAAATGTTATGGACCTACATCGCTGAAACTGAATGATGGAGAGACATTAATTTCATGGTTTTTTTTTAATCGTGCTAGGCAGTTACAGTTACATAATAGCAAAAAATAATCTTTAATATGAAGATTAAATATAATGATATTTTTCTCTTCGAAAGAACCAAAATTGCAAAAATTCATAATGCAGGAAAACATTGACATTTAGAACAGCTGACTTAAACATTTGATGCTGAACAATGCTCAAACATGGTTACATATATATACCACTATTTACATACTCTTCACACTCAATCTAGCTCGGTAAAATCTCCAACAATCTGTTTGACAGTTGAGATCTCAGCAAAAATCCAATTTGTTAGCTGAGCCCCCACAATTGTTTTACTGAATCTCAGCCAAAAGAATTTTAGAACTACTCGGGTGTTGAAATCTAGGTAAAACAAAATAAGTGTGTACGGAAAAAGTTCGGTAAAAGTTTAAAAATCTGTGAAAAAAAATAGAAAATAAAAAAAACGTCCGGACTTGCACAGACTTTGTTCAGTTAACCCCATTAAATGATAATAAATAAAATTTGTCATTCCTCGCCGATAGCTTGAAGTAGCCGGACGTAGTTTGTTCGTGTCTCCGTTGCGGGTATTGGTTTCGTAGCCGGTGGAGTTTTTTTTCCCCACCATAGTGGTTTTTTTATATCGCGCGTTTTACCTACCGTGGACGAAGTTCAGTGCCCAAGGCAACCGCAGTCAGCAGAGGAAGTAGCCACCTTTAGCGACGCTATAGGTGGACTATCATCTCACCGTCATCGTCTCATCACCACTCCAAAGCAGCAAGCAACAACAACAAAGCAGCAAACGGAGTGGCTGCACCAGCTCACACAGCCGGCACCGGCCGGTGTTAAGTATACCTACTATACAATAGTTTTCTCTAGCCCATTGCCGCGCTTTTGTTATTGAATTTTGCGCGTGGCTTTGCCCTCTCCCCTGATAGGGTTGTGAGGGCTATAGTGGTGCAACTTCTTGCAACTAGTAAAAAGTTTTTTTTTTTTTTTTTTTGGTAATTTTGTTTTTGTTTTGCTTGGTTGTTCATACACTGGGCAACAAAATATTAACAACTAGTAGTTAAGTAGATTAATTGGTGAAGGTTTTTTGAAGTATTTTTTTTTTCCTTTTTAAGCGGTTGTGCACCGCGTTTGCGCAACACTTATGGCGTCTTCAGATACCTACGTTGCGCGAACTAGATACTATCAACCGTCTTCAAAAGGACCATGGGTTGTCTTTTTTCGGCCTAAAAATAAACCTTTGAAAACTCTCGACATTTCAAGAGACTTGCTGCGTAAGTATCCGGGAATCTTGGTACATAAAGAGAGATTCAATAAACTGCGTGTAGAAGCACCGACTTATGATGTGGCAAATAAAATTGCTGAACATGAGCTGTTTAGTGTTGAGTACAACATCTACATCCCTTCTCGAGATGTGGAGATAGAAGGTGTGGTCTCCGACGCGAGTCTGAGTGTCGCGGACTTAAAACGAGCATCGGGTTGCTTCAAAAACTCGAAAATCGGAGATCAGGTACAGATACTGGATGTCAGGCAACTGCATTCAGTATCTTTGCAAGATGGCATAAAAGTTTATCAGCATTCAGACTCGTTTCGGGTGACTTTCGCTGGTTCAGTTCTCCCAAACTTTGTTAAAGTTGATGGTGCTTTTTTTCCGGTGCGGTTGTTTGTACAGAGGGTATATAATTGTACCAACTGCAAAAGGCTGGGACACTCGGCCAGCCATTGCGGCAACAAAACTCGTTGTGGCAAATGTGGTGAAAACCACAAAGAGGATTCTTGCCACAAAGAATCAGTAAAATGCGCTTATTGTGGCGAGAATCCTCACCCCTTGCAGGAGTGCCCGATGTACAAGCAGCACTCCGATAAAGTGCAGCGTTCAATCTCTGGACGCTCCAAGCAGTCATATGCACAAATGGTGAAGGCTGCATCAGCCGTCCAAGATGAAAATCAATTTTCGATTTTGTCAGCTGA